ACCGGAAAATTCTGAAAACCTGGAAAAAATTCCAGTAACTCATGTCGAACCTTTCCTGCACCCCTTTGAGGCCCGAGCATAAAAACGCGCTTCTCGTCGAGTTATTTCTACTCTAAGAGCAGGAAAGACGTTTCGATAGACGCAGAAAGCCCTATCTGGATGTCTGGAAGGGGAGGAGAGCTACAAGGATGCAGTGGAGATCTTTGAATGGCCCCCTCGAAGGACTTCGCCCTACATGATAAAACAGCGGGCCTCTCGAGCCTCAAGAACGTGGCATCGAGTAATTCCTCTGACGTTCCTCAAACGTTCCTCCCTATGACGAGGCACAGCCTTAAAGTTGTGAAGATGAGCTATCTACTTTGTTTACGAGCTTCTACTTTGATTCTAATGCAATAATTTTATTTTTCCGTTTCTCTCCGCAAGTTCATGATAATTCGCATCGCGAGATGACTCAAGAGCTCTTGCCTAACTTTTTTAGCTTGTGGCGTAAGTGAATTTTGGAATCAGCGCATTCTTATGCGAAATCATCATTCAAAGTTACCTAGTGCCTCGCATGCTTTTCAATTTTATGATAATAATGAGTTCGCTTATACGCGAACGTCAGTTCTATAGAACTGACGTCCCTGGTAGGTATTTCTCTGTGGCAGCCAGAGAAAAATGGCTTTCCAGTGATGAATCGGTCCGAGCAGCTGCAGCAAATGCGTATGCTAAGAATCCATCCACTATCTATTGACTACACGAGATATTCTGGTTATGGCAAATTGACGTACCACGGAAAATCCAGTTCTCCCCTTTGGTTTCCGAAAACCGAAAAATCAGGTCTTAGAGATATGACTCAGCGTTAACAGATATTGCTAAATCGGAAGAAAAATAAGATCTTAAACTGCCCGAACGCAATGAGCAGAAAAGGGCTTCACTCATATTTTCTTAGGGTTTTCCGCCTCAATCCCGAATGATAGAAAATTGCGGGCGTCGTAAGGCTCTAGAGGAGTCGACACACTTTAAAACAAAGCGAGAGCGATTTCACTCAGAATAGGAAGTAGTGGAATTGCATATTCATTTTTTTTAAGAACAAATCTCTCATGTGGCTGTTATTTTGTTCTGAAGAGTCTGCATCAAAACACGAAGAGCAGAATTTTGAAACTGGCAAGACTGGGAAAGGGACACTTTTAGCGAGTGTTCTCTCGATCTGTTGGTGCATGGTCTGTTCAGAAAGCTCTCATCATCAAGTTCTCTCTGAAAATCAAACAAAGCTAATCTAATCTACGCAGCTATTTACATTCTGTATACGCTTCCTTTTGATTTTCGTCCATTTTTATTTGCTTGATTGGTTTTTGCCTGTTTATAAGTTATTTACATTCATTCTCCATGGGAAATTTTTTTCTCAGCCCCACAGATGTCATGGGCAGGACAAATCTCTCTTTGTCTCGGCGAGTATTAGGTCATCAAGTAAGAAACTCAAATACATATGCTTGCATTTATACTGTATATTCTAACATGCTAATAATATTTTACACAGAATTACATTATATGTTATTTATTTACTTACTTATTCATTCATTTATATCGGGTTTCTTTTTTAAGTAAAAACAGCGAACTCCTGTCCTTGAAATTTATGGAGGCCCATATTTTCCCCATATCCCGCTTTTAGGACGATTCTGTTTTTTTTTTGTTTCATTTTGCTACAGGTTAACATAAAGCTACGCTGTCTGTCAATGAAATTGCAGCATAGATCTGGAGTTGAACGATAATGGCGAAATTTGGCACACGAAACTCAGTGAACACTCTGAGTCATGAAATCGAATATTATCAAGGGCATTGGATGATTTTTTTTTACAGGAAAAATAATTTGCACAATTCCCGAATGAATAGGGCAGGTTTTACTAATGGTCCTAAATAAGCTCCTATACCGAGTGTATTTATGAAAGTGAGAAATATAATCTCATGGTGTCCATGAGAATATTGAGGAAAGTTTCAAGGCCATTGTACAGGTATAAAGGTGATGGGAAACAGGTGAGGCGATAAAGAGTAAACGTGTTGATCGTCTGATGAAGGGAGAATGGGGGAGAGTGGGGGGGGGGGGGGGGGGGGGGGGGGGGNGGGGGGGGGGGGGGGGGGGGGGGGGGGGGGGGGGGGGGGGGGGGGGGGGGGAAGGGTGGTTTCACACAATATCCCAGACTCCTTTTCATCTTCTCACGAGCCTATTCGCCGTTCTTCTGGTTTTCACTGTCAGGTCAAGTCGGGATTGCATCGCTATTTCTCAAACTCGTTCGAGCATTTCATCGATGTTGGTTAATTGGGATGCATTCATCAAGATGATGCATCAATTCGTTTGAGCGGGCATCAACCTTACTTGGGATGTGTAGGGATGTGTAGCATCAATTCTCATGTATTAGTCTGATGCGTCCGTCTGATACTTGCATCAGGTTGTCGCATGAAGCAGACTAAAGAAGAGGGTGACTTCGCTGCTAAGCCAGTTCCCTCTTTACTCTGTAGTTTCTTTTTGCCGTTTTTAGGTGCCAATAATCGATGCTAACGCTCATAACATTGAAACGGATAATCAAGATAGCCGGTGTAACAGGAAATACGGTAAGTATTATCACGAAAATGTACTTCACAGAAATACCTAGGATATCACATCCTCTCCACACCATACCATCAGCACCTCACGGAGTGATACGTGATACCGAAACGCAACTGGCCGGAACGGAAAGAATTCGACGGAAACATGCGAAACTGAAACATGTCGAAGCCGATATTTCCTCAATCCTCATCACTATCAGCCGACAAAATCCCCCGAATACTTTTCTCACCTCCAATGGTCCGTGTGCGATTTTGGCTTCGCATTCGCAGGGGGGAGCGGGGGAGCGGGGGGGGGGGGGGGGGGGGGGGGGGGGGGGGGGGGGGGGGGGGGGGGGAGGACACAGCCGAGAGATAACGAAAAAGAATCAGAATTAAGTGGCTTGAATGAAATGTTCAAGGTGAAACGATCCCCTCTGAGAGGAAAAAAAAATTCATGAAATGCTAAGCATGCTCTTCCGCTGAGAGAGCTAATGGAGAGAAAATGAAGCACAGAACTCACAAAACCTTTTTTTTATTTCATTCGAAAGTCGTCGTAGGATATATAATTCATAAAATAGGTCAAGACAAGCATTTCGTATCATTTTATTAACGGAGCTCTCGGCTTGTACCAGAATTCGCGAGATGATGGCACTCACATCGCGATGAGTGCCATCATCTTGCTCTGTAGGTACGTGCGAATCCACGGCAGAACATTCCAATTCAAGCCAGATCCCTAACAGTTGTCAGTTGGATGATTTTGGTTGAGGGTTGAAGAGCTTTGGCTCTCTGTGCTTGCCATAGAATGACAAATATTTCTCCGTTCCTCCGTCAGATGTCTCTGGGATGAGTTATGATGTGAAGTGGGTCTTTCCTTGTCGAAAATCTAGATTTATTCAGGGAAAAAGGGCTCAAAATGCAGCGATTAGATACTCGTCGGCGTTAAACTTTCTTGCAAATGCTTCGGACGTCGCATTTTGCAAAACAATCCACATGCTCCGTTACGTGCGCTACATACAGTAGCCCACTTCGTGCAGACTTGTGCTATTTCAGGTGAAATTGCGTCTATGCAACACAGCTCACGTTTCTTGCTTTTAGCCTCAATAACCCCCCCCTAGACAATGATTCCTTGAACATGTTCTAGTCACAATGATATTTTTTTTTACATGTTCCTTCTTATTGAAAAGGAATGAAGAATGATTATTCATCCTGCCTTCCCATCCACCCTCGGGGGCGTTTATCTTCCTTTCCTAGCGGCACCATTAATAATAATAGCCCAGGGATGAATTTCTAGCTTTCTCCTTGCGGATCACGATACGTCGGCGTGTGACACACAAACCCCATGCTTCTGGCTTCCTATCGATACAAATATCCCCATTTCACGCCGGAGTCCGTGATGTCCTCGAAACGGCATGCAATGCTTTCGACCAAAATTTCCCTAATCCGAATAACTGGAACTTAGCCAGGGGGTTCGTTTTGTTGAAAGTCATTTTTCGCATAGGACCTGTTAGTACCGGCAGCGGGGAAAGTCCTGCAGATTTAACGATTTCATGACGTCACACTCGGTCGAGTGTCTGTGATTTCGATCGTGCAGTTTCTGACTTAGAAACGTGGCCCACATCAATTGAATATGTATTCAATGTGAACAAAATATTAAAGCCTGGAAGGATACATTGACATTGCATACATGTTCATTGTTACTTCGGACGGGAATGGAAACCTCTTAAAACTGCAGGATATCCACACGAGGGATCTGGAGAACTTGAAAGAATTCCACACACGTGGTTCGGTAGTTACGTATCGTGGATGTTCTCGGATGTTCTCGGATGTCCTTATGAGAGACGCAACACTTGATCATTCATGAGCAAGCTTGCATGGCGTTTGTCATTTGGGTTCGAAGTACCGGAGGAGTGTTTTATCTGAGACATGCCATAATCACTTCTCCAAGGTATTTTTCATCATGGAACGGTGACTTCCTGTGCGAGTATCGCACAGGTACTTCAAGGAAGAGTGCACTGCTCGAGAATGAAGTGACAGTGCCTTTAGCATTAGAACTTTCCGTCTTGTACGTTGATTTTTTTTTTATTATAAAGGGGACGGAGGGGTGTCGACAGTCTCTCCCGATTCCGTCGCGCACTATTTTTTTTCCGAAAGAGAGGAATATCACCTAAACTAAACTCTCCGCACTACACGCTCTCTGAAATACTGAGTTACATTAGTTGAAAATGATATACATTTGCATCGGTGAATTATCACAGAATGGCGCGAGAACGTCTTGGTCTCGCAAAGAAAAATCTTGAGAGGGTGGATGGGAAGGCAGGATGAATAATCATTCTTCATTCCTTTTCAATAAGAAGGAACATGTAAAAAAAAATATCATTGTGACTAGAACATGTTCAAGGAATCATTGTCTGGCACGTCTGCGATACCCGTGAATCCCCCGAGGTTAGGAGCCCCGATTATAGAAACAGCGTGAAGAGTGGCAGAAGCACGAGGAAGTGGGGGATTCGAATCGGAGGTCCAGCCTCGTCGGTGGTTGTAGCGCCAACACAGCCATCCCGGGTCTTGTAGGGTCCCATGCAGGCGGCATGGGCCATGACGTGTGCGATGTAACTCTGCTCGTGGACTCCCACCAGCAGGTGCGACCACGGCCCTGCATCAAACATTTTACCGGACTCATTGTCATATCACCTATTTCATCACGTGTCAAGTGTGTCGGAAGTGAGGTTAGTTACAACAATAAAAATATAAATTCCATAGTGAAAGTAGTAGGTGGTATACGAAGTAGCTAGTTGAAGGAAAACAGGCATTGAACTCACAACTCACATCATACAACGATGTTTGAGTGGTTAGTCCAAAGTAGCATTATTTAATCATTTCTTTGGTGCGAGTTTGTGGGACTGAACAGAAAGAGTTGTGGAACAACCTCTCCGAGTCAAAGTCCAATTCGAGTGTTGCAAGAAATTTTCCAATGGAAACATTTTTTCTCAAGAGGAAAGGAGTTGTGAACGTGAAAACGGTCAACGATCAACGGTCAACGGTCAACAATGAACGGTCATATCATGACCGTTGGGCCAAAATCATATTTTTCCTGACTTTCCTCTCAAAACTGCTTTGATATAACGGTCCACGAGACAATTGCATTTGCTGACGTTGATGATGTTGACTATCCTACGACACAATAACTATGAGGATGGGTTTGTTGAACTTACCTTTGCAAATTCATACTCGCCGTTTGAGAGAAGTAGCGTTCCAGTAACAGCCACTTTTCAGAGAGGACATGGTTCGTAGGCTTATAATTGCTACCCTAAATCTCGTTTAATTATATTTGGGGACTGTCCACGGGTTTATTACCCCTTTTGTACCGAAGGGTTAGCGCGTCCATAACCCAGAGAATAGTGATTGGTTCACCTTTTGCATAAACAGCGATGTCCTCTCCGCCGTGGGTCTCCGAGAAGCTTCCTTTAAGATGCACGGCTTGCAACTGACGGTAGTCGTCTCCCATCGCTTCCTCCTCCGTCACATTTTCCCAGACCACCTGGCTGCTGTTATTCGGATCCACCTTGTACTTCCAGAAGCCACCATTCGTGAACATCAGCGTCGTGTACGGTAGGCCCGTCGACTCGGAAATCTCAGCGATTCCTGCATTTATAACAAACGTACATACGTGCCCGCTTAAGTTATTTACGATAGTTTAAAAAAAGCCTCCGGATTCTCTTGTGTGCATGATATGGGGAAACTTCGAGCTCGTACCCAAAATGGGGTTTCCTCTTTTCGGATAGCCATTGATGGTCATCACGTGAGAATGATCTGCCGTCACGATGATCAGGGTCTCGTCCAGTTCGGATTCCATTTCCTTAATGGCTGTTTCCAGGGCGTCTTCCATAGCCAGCAAGTCCACCAATGCCCTCTTGGCATTTACCTCGTGGAGGGCGTGGTCGATCTTCCCTCCTTCAACCTGCAGAGGATATATCTTTGTATGGGGAACAGGGCAAAAAATAATTGCTTTAAATCTGATGAATGCCATGAAAACGACTTCTCACCATGAGGAAAAAGCCTTGATCGTTCTTGAGATTTCGGATGGCAAAACGGGTCATTTCTTGAATGCTCGGCTCTTCTGTATTCTTTCTATCCAATTCATAGGACATGTGACTGCCAGAAAAAAGACCTGAAAGCCAGACAAAACATTATTCCATGTATATGCTGAAACTTACAAAAATAATTTATAAATTTTTTTTTCTACCTTTTCACGTAACGTGGTCAAGGTTGCGATCGTTACCGAAAGAAAGAACTCGTTTTGCCTTTAGTCACTGCCTTTGAAAAAACTTAAGTTCACATATAACTATGTATATAACTAGAAAAGTTATTAATCTCTTTTACCGATAAGTAACAGTCCTTACTCGTCTCATAAAGACTTGGAACCATCCTGGAAATGGAAGGAATCTGAATTTGGAGCTGCCGTGTACAAGGACACGATCCTCCAGCTAGGCTACAGTGTCCAGGCAGATCGCATTCAAGCGCTCCCTCTCGATTACGTCCTTCGATTACATTTATTCTCAAATACAATATAATGCGAGTGCGGCTTATGATAAGGGTAGGTCGGAAGTCTCGAAAAACCGGTCCGCTCTCACTCAAGAAAACGCGGTTTCCCCCCCCATACACACATTACCTGTCGAGGGACAGGGCACAGGGGCACTAGGTAGAACAGGAGCTATTCTCCCCTTAATGACGTGTCTGAGCATAAGGGTATCGACTCTCAGTGGTTGCATCAGTTTCCATCTCAAATGGATGGAACGCATCTTCTGTTCTTACCGGTCGACTTTCTATAGCAGTGGTTCCCAACCTCGGGTCGCGACCCAAATCAGGGTCGCGGAAAATTTCGCGGAAAAAAGGAATTTTTTTTTTTGCAGAATGCACTATATTTCCTTATGAATATGATATTGATGTACATATTTAAAATTCATCATAAGCCTGAGGGTCTGGAGGTTCTGTTGGTAGCCAATTTCGGGTGGCAGCAAAAAAAGGTTGGGAACCACTGCTCTATAGCAATTACGAACTTGAGCGAAATTCGATTGCGTCATTGCCTTTCGTTATGTCTGGGGGGAAAAGAACGAGTAACCGCTTCCCGTTACTGAGTTTGGTAATGGTATTGCTGTAGAGCGTTGTTACACGACCGACTGTGACCTCTCGACCGCCGGAGATATGCAGTCTTCTATGAGGTTTAGAAAGCGGATTCCTTCTGATGATTCTTAGCAAAATCTACTCTTACCCCCATTCAGCACAGAAGCTAGTAGCAGCCCCCCTCCCTCTCCCATGAGTTTCTTTCTATCCGAGCAAAGCAAGAGGAATCACCAAGGACATGATCTTTTTCCTCGTTCCCATGGGCCAACAACTCTTCCCTTGTCTTGACGTAAGCCCAAGTGAGATTGAGGCTTTTCTTGTGATCAATCCAAACTTGGGTCAGGTCTACGCTGCCGTTCCGTCTACACCCGTCAGGTTCAAAGTTTTGCCGACCCCCTCCCAAAATTACCTGAAAACAATACAGGATGCACGGATGAGAGAACAATTAACATCTAAAAGTTTTGCTGGGTTTTTAGGAGAATCTCCCCCTTTTGAGGAGGAATAATCTACGGTAATAAGTGATAGATGACCTGGTTTGGACTGGTGTACAGGGTGCCCCATAAGTCATTATACCATTTCAAACTGCAGCAACCATTTTACTTTTCTTAGCATTGATGAAAAGAACGTTCTTCAGAATTTTTTTCACAATAACGACATGGAATCAGCCTCAAATAGAAATTGCTTCAAAAGCATGCCATGAAGGTGTACGTCTTTAGGGCGATTTATTTACCTTCTTGAATCCTCTTTTACAAAAAATCCCGAAACTTCATATTTTTCTCTTCTAATTCCAGATAGACCTGAGAAACAGGAAAAAAGTTGAATTTGTTTTCGTTGACATGAGGAAAGGCCACAACGCTTAAACAACGAAGGAACGTTGCTATCTGGAGGGAGGTCTTCGAGAGTCTCATCGAAGTCCAAAGGGAGTTTCGACAATATTTTTTCGGTGAGCCTCGTGCCAAATGTACTGATATAAGCGAAGGTCATTTTGAGGCACTTTCACACATCAGAAGTACTTCCAGTTTTTGACAAAGATAATTCCAAATGACATGCTATCGTTCAATTAATGTTACTTCTTATTTGTGCTAAATGATTAGCAGATGTGAATTTATGAAATGGTATAGTGACTTATGGGACACCCTAAATATGGTCTGCCCCGGCTATTGCGCGTAATTAAACGTTATTCATCAACGAACCCTTTTAAACGAATTAAATAAAAAAAATTGTCACATGACAACGATCATTTCATGTTGCCTCTGGACTGGTCTGAGGGCAACAATATACCGCTTGTTTCAGGAACTATTAAGCAAATTAAGCAGAAACATGATTGGATTCTGCAAAAAGAAATATGGATGAATTTAAAGACGAACATTCATATATTTCCCCGGTTCGTTTTCGACGAGCTGCCGGGCGATATCGGGACACTTCCCTCGGGCGTCCGAGGGCATGAACTCCTCGCATTCCCAGTCCCTGTTGGGCGTATGGGCATACAGGGCTCCCGGCGTTGCGTGCGTCACCCTCGCTGTCGTCACCAGACCTACGAGGAATATTACCATTCACCAGAGATATCTCCATGGAATCCTCATCGATAGAAGTTAATCTGGAAGAGACTTTCAAGACTGTGGCCTCATCCCTCCCCCCTCCCCCCCTCCGCCAGCCCAACCTCAACAACCTTATCCTGGGAGGAGGTGGGGGGGGGGGGGAAGATCGCGAAGGCCATTTTTCATTTTTATCTCATGAGAATATTTCGAGTGCCTCGATCCGAAATCAGAATTTGCCAATTGCTCTCCGTGAGAATTCACTGGACGACCTTCGGAGTGAGTGGAAGATGTACTGTGTGGAAATACCTGTCTTCTTTCCCTGTTCCTTGGCCCAGACGACAATGGAGTCGGGATGATTGATCGCGTTGTTCAGGACGGATTGACAATCATTGTAGTTGGAGTTGATGTCGACGCCCATCGTGGCATATCGGCTTTTGATCCCCGAGAAGATGGCCGTCGCTGTGCAAGCTGAATCCGCCACCTGGCGATCTACGCAATAGCTCTACAGGAAAATGACAAAAGGACGTCGAGCAAAGGTTCAAAGACGAATAATGTGGAGGGATGGACTCAAAAATTGTAGCATCTGACAAGAACGTATGGGAAATTGCAATCACGCCATCCTCTTCAATCTTGAATGTGCAAAACTAATTCAGCCCAGCGTCTCTGTCATACTACGAGCAATATTCGGCCGGTCTATTTTGTTCTCAGGAACTGGATTGTACTAGTAGAATGAGTTTTTGGGCCATTCCTTAGGATTAAATTGCTTGTCAAATGATGATAAAACACTGTCCTAAGAAGAATATCACAAAACAAGTAGCAGAAAAATAAGGAATTTCCGATAACAAACCACTCAAGAATTGTAATAAGATGCTGTAGCAGTAGCAGTTCGAGCACATACAGGCGATGACAACGTATTCAGGTGCGCCATTCACATGTACATTATATTGCCAAAAGTATTGGGACATGCTTCCCTCCGCCGATTATAGATTGTCCTAAGGGCCATGTGCATTGCGGTAGTCTAAAGGTATATAAACGTAATCTGCAATCTGTTAAATCAGTGTTAGCCAGTATTGGTACGTGAATCGGAGCCGACGGTGTTTGAACGTGGAATGATGGTTGGTTGGTAGTATCGACCTCTGCACCCGATCCACGCACCGCTCTGGTAAGATTAAGTCTACAATTAGCATCTAAAAGTTTCGCTGGGTTTTTAGGAGAATCTCCCCCTCTTGAGGAAGAATAATCTACGGTAATAAGTGATAGATGACCTGCTTTGGACTGGTGTACAGGGTGCTCCATAAGTCATTATACCATTTCAAACTGCAGCAACCATTTCACTTTTCTTGGCATTGATGAAAAGAACGTTCTTCAGAATTGTAGATTGTAGATTATCTTTATATACCTTTCAACCACCCTAATGTATACGGCCTCTGGGACAATTTTATCGGCGGAAGGAGGCTTGTTCCGATACATTTGGAATTTTTATGAGACTTCTGCTCTAATAGAAAAGTTTCATCGGCGTACGGTTTCATCATTGTGTGAACGAGTCCTAATCAAAATGCGTTAACATAATATACGTACTAAAAATGCCATATTCGAAGCGCGTCATAATATTAAGAAGTCGTAGTGCAAGGCCCCCTTACTCTTTTATTTGTCACAGGTGAAGCATGCAGTCAGGAGAAAGATAGGAAATCTAGTCCACGCCTTCAAATGCCATTTTTATCTGTGGTAATATAATCGTGGGACCTTGGACCGTTGGACTGTCATGTTTTAGTGACAATTTTAAACCAATCCGAAATGTTGTGATTGATGTCCAAGGCCTCTTTTTGAAGCTGGACGACCCGAGGGAGGGGGGGGGGCTTTGGTTTCCATTCATCACCCCATTATGTAAGTTTAACCACACGGCCCTGTAGAAGGAACACGAAGCCTAGGTTTCCGTTCACTTTTTGCGTCTCGATCATTTACGGCCTCGAGTTATTTTCCCGTATTGATTTCCCCTAAATGAGCCTAAATGTAATAACTTGCCATTATGTGTTCTGGGATTGCATACAATTGCGTTGTAAGGAACAGTAACCACATCTCATGCTTTCTTCTGATCTAGTCTAGTTTATGACGGTTATCTTCCTACCGTAAAATGCCCTTGAATGCCTGCTTCGACTGTTAAGGATGGTATGATTGTGCAACGGCGTCTTTCCTCTATCCCTTGTTTCGACAGTGGCAGAGAACAGCTGAATGCCAACTAAAGAATGGGCTTCGCCATGTTTGGGTTGTGATCAGTTTGCATAACGGTTCGACACAGTTTTCTTTCACGTCGAAGGTGCACCTGAATGGCTGAATGGTGCACCCATGGCCAATTATTTTGGAATATATATATAAAACGCTATCTATATGCATTTTGCTGTTCTTGACTTCCAGGTACTGAAATTGCCGAAGTCAAACAACTCTGGGCCTCTCAAGTCCGTACACCTTCACCCTGATGTGAAAATGTGATGGGAGGGGAAGAAAAATGAAGGAAATGAAGGAACCTTGATGAGTCCAGTGGAAGGGAAGGTCTCGAATCTGAGACTGGTTTCCTCGCCAGGGAAACCCTGCAGCTGTCCCTTGTAGATCCTAGAAGCGACAGTGACGGGAATCCCCATTCCATCTCCCACGAAGATGATCACGTTTTTGGCTTTCTTCAGATTGGGCGTCGCGGCCTTTATCGTCTTCTCGAGATCGTCTTTCATTTCTGACATCCAATGGTCTCCATCTGCAAACGAAGACGGGGATGTTGTCTGTATCTGCAGATACACGGCACCTACGATTTCCCAATCCTCGAAAATATTCATATATAATTTACGGGGTATTATAAAATAAACTTTAAATAAACTTTAAATTGCAATAACTAAGGGATTGGTGAATGGATCTGCTCATCTCTCGCATAGTCGTGCCTGACAGCATGGGGTTTCTATTCGCAGGGGACTTTGGGTTCACGTCCACTGCAGCGACAAGTCTCTCAGGTTTCTTCCAAGTCCTGAACGCTTTCCATTCCCTCGATCCTCTCTATCTGAACCTTCACAGGCAATGGCTTGCGGGTCCGTTGTACGACCCCATTTCTGTGTGATACACCTGTGTGGCAACCGTCTCGGATTATCCATGTCTATCGTAAGTGCTAATTAACGAACCGCATTAGGTGATCGAGGACCCATCACTACCTTCAGGTGAAACCCCATCATGTCAGGCATGTCAAAAAATGAGGCAACTCCCTTCCTCTTCCTTAACTCCGAAGTTATTGCATTTTAAAATGTATCGCTTTCTTTTAAAAGACAACCCAACACATTCATTCATTTTGATTTCTGGTGGCCGGTCCGCATGAGTGGGCTACCCAGACATATCTATATTGGTCAGGCCTAATGTTCTCATGAAGTCAGTTACGAGGCATTATAGAGAACGTTTCCAAGGTAGGATTTGGCAGTAGTGCTAGTACGTGGGTTGGAAAAAAGTCTAAACTCATCGTTCCTGTTTATCTAAGTTGCCCTCCTAGTCGAGCCAAGATACAGTATTGTGATAGCTTTATTTTTAATGCTCTCAATAAATTTATATCGCAGGAGAGCTCAATGTCATATCTGTTGCTAATTGCGCAGTGCGAGTATACGCGTATCTATGTGGATTGTCCCATCATTCTCTTGGTCTCAAACACTATCTCCATTGGTTCTAATTTATAACAACGGAATACCGCTGAAAACTCTCGGGAGAGTCCGTATTAAAAACAGTCAGGAAGTTTCCATTTCTTCGTTAGTTAGTCTGGTAGGTGGGCATACTTAAGAAGAAAGGAAAAGGCGTGAAGGAGAAAGAAGAAGCCATGGAAAAGTCAGTTTTTAAAGCAATGGCCATGGAAACGAGACGGTGTTCTCTATCTGCTGCATTCAAACGTCTTCAGTGCCTGTCTGTCGTTGGAGGACATTTTCTCAAATCACATTATTCTTGTTTACCTCAATTTCAGGTCTTCCTCGCCCACACTGTCAACTAAGAGCTTTGCACATCGACATCGTCTCTTTAAAAAAATTCCAATTTCACTTTCGAGCCTGCAGTTTATGCAAGCAGTGCAGGGGAGCACCGAAGGTTGTGGGGGGGGGGGGGGGCTTTCCATGGGGTTCAAAACACGAAATTAAAAAAATTCAAGTTCCAATCCATCTTCCATAGAAATCCGCATCCTTTTAGCGAGCGCGAAAAACCTGTAAAGCACCGCTCTCTTCTCAAAGAAGAGACGTTGCGAAAACAGCACGCGATCCATCTCTTTTCACTTTTGCTTTCGATAGAAAGGGCCACGAGTTCTCCAAGGTCGAAGACACAGCTCAACGACTCTCCGATCGTGTTGCTTTAACAGGTCTACGGCGATACGCGATCGCCTCGATGCCGTTACATTGCTGCGATGCTTTGTTGTCAGCTGCAAGATCGAAATACGATAGCGTCACTGCGACGAAGTAGCCAGCGTTTGGACAATTGTATTAGTTTTATTGTGTTGAAAAGTATGCGCTTAGGAGAGCAATTGCTGCACCTCATCTTTCTCAATGGGCTCGTTTTTAAGTCTTGCTGTAAACGTGGACACATGTGGCGACGAAATGGAAAAGGTGATCATTAGGGAGAGGATTTTGATATAAATACAAGATTTTCCAACAGTTGTGTGTTGTAACCAGTGACTTCGCGTTGGGGGAAGAGGGGGGAGGGCCTGGAGGTGAAGTCCCCCCCCCCTCCCCCCTCTCCCGAAGAGAAGTTAAAGAGATTCTAGCCCCCTGTACGAGTCCCTTAGCTCCTCATTGGCGAATTCCTGGCGAGACGGCTGGCTGTGACAAGAATAGGTCAACTATGCTCACTAGACTCCTAATTTGAAGTCTGAGGAACTTTTCCTTACTCCACTCTGTAGATGAACAAATTCCTCTTGAAATTTCGCTCTTCGTTTTAAAAATGTTTTTGGATATTTCCCCATTTACATGCATGTATTTACAGAATATGCATATTTCAGGACTCATTAGCGCCTAAAAATCAGCTCCCTAGATCGATGAAGCCGATGCTTCTCACCTTCTTGAAGACGAGTCGGTCTGTGGACGAAACGGTATGCAGATGCCTCGTGGTAGAAAAGGGCGAGAGAGAATAGGAGAGCCGCGAACATGGCAACAATTTCGTATCTTTGTCACCTGTGCCACCTAGAGGAAAAGGATCCGCTCACCCAGTCAGCAGATTTCTCATATCACGGAATAACGGCTTCCTATTGTCTATCAATCTCTTATCTCGAACAAAAACGGATCATGGTCATCGCACGCAGCATTATCAATGTAGGAGGAAAAACTCGAATTCTGGCTCTTTCTGAATATTTGCATTAGAAACCATGAAGCATGGAGAATTGCTGGAGGGGGCAGGGTGGGGAATTCCCCTTACAATACCAAAGTACATATAAATTTTCCAGCCAGGCTTTCTCTTGTGCGACAGGTCGCTGTCATCGATTGCTTCGAATGCAGTTCACTGCAAGACACTTTTCCTCGCCGAAAACTGCAAAACTTTTCACCCGGCAGCAAAAACGACGTAGATGACGGGAATGACCATGTACGAGTCACTCCCGAATTTTTAGACTTTTCACCTACAAACGAAGATGAACGAGTCCAATCCTGCTCGTTTATAGAATGCACTTATTTTACGTTGCTTGTGCACGTTTTGTCATGTTCTGCTGACATCATTGAAGCAATTTAAGTAAAACCAGGTAATGACATCTCATTAAGAGCGATTCTGTCCGTGGCTCAACCGTCTTCTTCGTGTCATCTGTCTACGATTATGAGAATCTCTTCGGGAGATGCGTATCTATATGAAACGTCGAGGGATATTTTAGACGAAGCCCCTTAACTTGGAATCGTGTTCGACTTTTACCACATCTTCGATCGAGGGAAAATGAGTCGGAAGACTCGGGCGTGCTCCGACGGCAGCGACTCGACCAAACTATGGCACACTGTGCACACGGCGATGAAGATCACCCGATCATCTTCGACGCAGCGACTGCAAGTGGCAAATCGTCGAGTCACTACCATCACAGGACGCCAGGGATCGCTCTCGATCATCTCCCCATTTTAACATGGAAGAGGAGGTACCGCTTGAAGACGGGGGCACGCGAAGGGGCTTGGTCCCCCAGCAGCCTCCGGCGTTTCATCTCGTCAAGCCTCATCCCAGGCGACTCTCTTCAAGTTATTGAAAATGACGAACCCATTTATCGTGGGTCCAATCGCGGGGAGAATCTACGCGAGATCTTCCTAGCTCTTTCCATTCCGAATTCTCCCATGCCACTAAATGTCAAAATAACGGGATGAAAGTCACTCAATCACCTTAGAAGTGCATTTAACCAATGACTGAACTTGAGCCAATTTGCCTTCAATAGCAGGTAAAAAGAAAAACTTTCGGAGTGAACCCACGTAAAAATATGGTAAATAAATTCACTTGGATGGTGCCCATTTGCAAGTGAACCATCCGAGTTTCACTCCTCGTACACCTCTCATTCAATACTCTTGGAAGAGCCTAGCCCGGAAGATCGTGATCTTGCGGCGCATCACATTTATTGGAACGATGACAGATTTTGCGTGCGCGAAATGTTAAAAAAGGACACCCTCTACATTTGTATGCTATTCGAGTTCCCCAATTTCTACGAGGTACTTTCATGATGATTTGTATATTCCTTTCACTTCTTCAGTTGACAGCGCACGTCTGCAGTACGACGAGTATAAAGAAAAGGGAAACCCGCGCTGAATCTGCTCCGTATTACGTATCGCTCTCGAAACGGTTCTCTTGAAGGATAAAATTACCTTTTGAAGACCCAGCACGTGGTACGATTTGGCAAGAATATGCAGACCGAGAATAAAGAGATCGTGGAATTAAAGCAGGGAAGAAAAAACGCGAACGTCCCTTCTCGCTCACCCCACCTCGACACGAGACACGCGTCGCCCATCACACACACCCAGACCACCGACCGTGGGACGCCGACGTCGGTGGTCGACACAGCCTCATCGCCGCCTCGAAGGAATCCGAAAACTTTTATCCCTGCATTCCTGCCCCGCAGCACGCACGAGATGTTCGCTCGGCAGGGTCTCGATACACTGGGACGGCGAACGGATTCGGCGTGCCCATGACAAGCTCTTGGGATTCGGAATTCTAACCTTCCTTTCCGCATTTTTCTTCGCAACAAACAGTTCTCCCCCCACATACTTTTCTAATAAATCATAAATCATGACTTTTTCCTTCCTCGCATGGTGGATGATTTCCATTTCACTGGAGGTACAGCACGTGAGTTTCTCGATGCGTCGGAAAAACTGAATCAAGAGAGTCATGATATTTCTGACTTCCGAACGAGAAATATATGGGATGAGGAATCCACTTCGCGTCAAATCACCGATCCTTCCGGTAACGATGAGTCAGACTGCAAAATATTTCACAGTGTCACGAAATCGAGGCTGCCAATGGATCCCTCAACTCCTTCCAGACGTAAGCTACTATTAGATGCACGATCACAATCTTTCGGAATTCTTTCTTCACCACCGACGACCAGTTCGCATGTTTCCTCTTCGCGTCCGCAAGCAGGCACAGCCGAGAGATAACGAAAAGAATCACGTGGATTGAAAGCAACGTGTGTTTTCGAAGCGGAACGTACCCTCTGGGAAGAGAAAATATTCATGAGATGCCAGACGTGCCCCTCCGTAAAGGGGAGAAAGAGGGAGAGAAGCCTCAAGGGTTTATATCTTGGAAATGATATACAGGGTGGGCCAAAAGTCAGGACACAATTGAAATTTTATTTTCTTTAGTTTATTTATTAATTGTTATAAATATACCTAAATATACAGTATTAATAATATTATTAAATATTAAATAAAATATGATTATAAATGTATAAATAGCTTACATACATGTAATATTCCTGGTTTATCTTGTAATGAATAAAGCAAAACAATAAAGATTTCAAGTGTATCCAGACTTTTGCCCCACCCTGTATTTCTCTTTGTAATTTTTTTTCGTTGAATTTTCTTTCTTTTTCTTTCTGTACAAGGGGTGGCCAAGAAATAGGATTCACTTTTGTTTTTGTTAGTTTACTCGGTAACCAAAGAAAATGTAAGGTTCAAATTTTGCTTACTGACAACACGATCCCCACTCTTTCCGATTGATCACTCCACGAGGACATAGACTTCTTGACTTCCAACTTTTCTTAGCTGGCTTTGAAGTGACTCCATGAGGTCCGTGCCCACCTCCTCTGCCTCTTCATAATAATTATTATTATTTTATTTTATTATTATTATTATTATTATTTTTTTTTTTTTTGGGGGGGGGGGAGAAACAGATCCATTTGAAGCAGTTCAAGTTCTTGACCTTCTCCCAGCTTCCAAGTATTTTTCCTTGCAAATGGCCCAAATTCGC